CTTAGGTTGCCTACCCCTGTAATATAGACTTAAAACCTTAACAAAAAATTATTAAGAGGGTTAATAGGATAACGTGCAGAAAGAATAGTAAAAAGCAGGCAGTAAATCTTGTAACTATTTTTGATAAAATGAGTACATCAAAGACAGATTGTTTGTAGATAGACTCAAGGAAAAATTTGAGATAGGAGTTAAGCTATGGAAGGATTTATAATAATAATAATAATAAAAATAAAATTTATTTATATCCCGCCCAGTGGTAATCCAATCAGGGCGGCTTACAAGTTTAAAATAACAATCCAATAACAACCCAATATTGTTACATTCTAAATTAATTGCAAGGACAGCATTTCTTTCTAAATGTAACAAGGGTGTCACCGAAATACAAGACTGATTCTGTGTAATTGACTCATGCATAATTCTGAAACCTCCCATGCATAAATTATCCCTATTTTAAATGGTCATGATATGTATGAAGAAATATGTTGCGGGTTGGGCTTTTACATACATGAAAAAGGTGGTCTTAAAATTGATCATATGTCTTAACTAGCCAATAATATTACAGGGGTGGAAAAATACTGCCAGGGGAAGGGAATAAAACCATGCTGTGTCAAGTGTGGGGGTGTGCCTACTCGCCTAGGACACCCCTTCTTGCAAGAATGTTAACTAATAAATAGGAAATTACTGCTTCACTTGTTTTGTCCTGATTAATTTGATTTGGTACTTTGGTACTTAGAAAACTGTATCCCACAGGGAGGTTAAAGTACAGGGCCTTAAATGCCAGGACCTAAAGCTTGTAATGAGCCCAGGCCCAAACTAGTAGCCAATGGATGCAAATTAAAACCACTTTAACTGTCATGGATCCATCCTATGGAATCCTGGGATTTATAGTTTGTTGTGGCACTGAGCTCTCTGACAGAGAAGGCTCAACATCTCATACAAGTACAGATCCCAGAATTCCATAGTCTTGAGCCATGACAGTTAAAGATGTGTTAAACTGAATTAATTCTGCAGTGTAGATGCAACTAGGGTGAAGGGTGGATAGGATAAAAGGAACAGGAGGAAGGAAGGAAATTGTTCATTCTCCTCTATGGAGATAAGAAAACAATAAACTGTAGAACAGCTCTCCCTTGTGGCCAACCTGATTTGCTTAGGTTTGGCATCACAAACTACAGTACTGTACTTGCCCAGTGGCTGAATGTCCAAGTAGATAAGCATTACATCTGGACCACTTTCATACTCTGTCTTTGAACCTTTGTTGTACCTTTAAGCCCATCCACTGCTGGAGTGCAGCCCCCAAGACCTTCCCCAAATTGAAATCTGGCCCCTGAGGAGAGCGGAATTTGGATAGCTATTTTAAAGAAGAATGAAGAGAATGATGGGCAAAACTGCTACTGAACAGTGGTCACAGAATCATAAAGTTGGAGGAGACCACAAGGGTCATCCAGTCCACCCCCCCTGCCATGCAGGAAGACACAATTAAAGCACCCCTGACAGATGGCCATCCAGCCTGTTTAAAAACCTCCAAAGTATGAGACTCCACCAATTCCTCCTCCAGTTAATGGAACTTGTCTGCAATTTGAAACTGTTGAAAGAGCAAGGTGTTGAATTTGTTGTTGTTGTTAATTGCCTCAGGTCGATCTTGACTCATGGCGGCACTATGGATGAGACATCTCCAAGACCCTCTGTCCTCCACTGCTCTGCTTAAATCCTGCAACCCCTTAATACCTATGATCTCCTTAATAGAGTCCATCCAACTGGCATGTGGCCTTCCTCTCTTCCTACTTCCCTCCATCTTTCCCAGCATTATTTTTTTCCAAAGAGTCCTCTCTTCTCATGATCTGTATTTCTTCATTTGGGAAACTTTTTAGCAAATTGTTGATGAGTTATTGTCCTTTGGTAATTTTTTTTGTATAATTGTGCATTTGATGTGTAATTTGTAATGCTGTATCTTGAGTTATTTGTTATGTATGACGTGTGTAGTAATTATTAACATTTTGGATAAAAAAAATAGCTGGCATAAGCTGGATCACACTTCATCAGAGACATAAAATGTTGCTTCAGTTTCCAGATAATGTGAACACTCACATGCTTCTGTGAATGGAAGGATATAATTAGTGCTCTGACTCTGACAAAAGTTTGGAGCAGAGTAGACAATGGACTTTAGGGGGTTAGTAAGTACCCTGGTTTGAAACAACTCAGTTTTAGGGATATTGCAAAGCACGCAGTCTTTGTTGCAAACAGTTGTAAAACTTTGGCATAGGTTTGGAGATGATTCCAAATTTAGTTAACAAAGCTGTCAGAAAGCACTGTGTATATGTATCTGCCTTCAAGTCACCTGTAGAGTTTTGGTGACCCCATGGATTTCACAGGGTTTTCTTAGGCAAGGAATACTCAGAAGTGGTTTTGCCAGTTCTTTCTACTGAAATATATCCTGCAGCACCTGGTATTCATTTATGGTTTCCCATCCAAGTCCTAACCAGAGTGGACCCTGCTTACCTTTCAAGATCAGACATGATCTGGTGCCTTTAGGGCAAGGGTCCCCAAACTATGGCCCGCGGGCCAGCTCTGGCCCACCAAGGCCTTCCTACTGGCCTGCCGCCGCGCCACCTCCGCTCGCACCCGTCATCAGACACATTTTTGTCTTCCAAAATGGCATCTGAAGTCATGCGCATGCCAAAGTACCAAAGTACCAAATGGTGCCCGGAGTTGTGCACGTGCATGCATGAGCATGTGCCTCTGCCCCCCTGGAAAATCTGGTGCCTTTAGGGCAGGGGTCCCCAAACTACGGCCCGTGTGCCAGCTCTGGCCCACCGAGATCTTCCTACTGGCCCGCCGCCGCGCCACACCGCTCGCACTCGCTGTCAGATGCCATTTTGTCTTCCAAAATGGCATCCGAAGTCATGTGCATACACCTGGCATCGCGCATGCATGCGCACGGCTCCGGGCACCATTTTGGAAGACAAAATGGTGCCCAGTGTCACACGCGCATGCGCACTACTCGGGCACCATTTTGTCTTCCAAAATGCTGCCCGGAGTTGTGCGTGTGCACGTATGAGTGCGCGCCTCCAGCCCCCTGAAAGATCTGGTGCCTTTAGGGCAGGGGTCCCCAAACTATGGCCCGTGGGCCAGCCCTGGCCCACCAAGGCCTTCCTATCGGCCCGCCGCCGCGCCACCGCTGCTTGCACCCACCGTCAGATGCCATTTTGTCTTCCAAAATGGCGTCCGTAGTCGTGCACATGCACCTGGCATTGCGCATGCATGCGCATGACTCCGGGCGCCATTTTGGAAGACAAAATGGCACCCAGCGTCACGCGCACATGCGCACTACTCGGGCACCATTTTGTTTTCCAAAATGGTGCCCGGAGTCGTGGGCATGCACATGTGCGCGCCTCCGCCCCCCTGGAAGATCTGGGGGCCAGCGAACCGGCCTGGCCTCTGGATCAAAAAGTCCAGGGACCCCTGCTTTAGGGTATTTAAGCCTTTTCAGAAAGCAGTACAACAAGAAAAAGGATTTAAAGGCTGCAATGCTTGAAAAAAAGAAGAATAGAAAGAGAAACAGCTGAATTGAATTATATTTACACATTCTAAACCATTAACAGGTATGAACAAAGACAATGGCTTCATGCACATTACATTTATTAACAAAAGAGTCTTTATGCAAAGGGATCTTTTAGCACCTTTCAGACAAAATGAAAGAGAGAAGTCCTTGCTACTGTAACAAAAGAGTCCTCTTTGTTACTATAACAAAAGGAATCTTCTCACCCAAGGAATTGACTTTTGATAAGTGGATTAATTGCTTTCACACACCACCACTTCCTACTGAAAATATCTGTAAGATCTATATAGCTCTACACCTTTGAAAATTTCGAATAATGGTCATGATTTGCATCCTTCTGGATCCCATTATATTCCATCCCACTCTCACAACTGTGCATATATGCTTTGTGTGTGTGTCATGTGTGCCTTCAAGTTGCCTGTTGACTTATGGTGACTACATGCATTTCATAGAGTTTTCTTAGGCAAGGAATGCTCAAAGCCAGCTCCTTCCTCTGAAATATAGCCTACAGCACCTGGTATTCATTGGCAGTCTCCCATCCAAGTACTAACTAGGAGTGACCCTGCTTAGCTTGCAAGCTCAGACAGTATTTGGTGCTTGTAGGGTATTTAGGCCC